TTTTTTTTTTTTTTTTTTTTTTTTTTTTTTTTTTTTTTTTTTTTTTTTTGTGATGGATGGATCAATAAAAGACATGACCATTTTGTGCTCACATATCTCTGCTATGATTTTTATCCTCTTATACACATATGGCCTATTGGTTATAGAAATGAAATGAATTGAACGTGCCATAAAAAAGAGCCTTTTTTTAACTTTTAGTCGACTCTTTCCACTTAACGTTTATAAAAATCTTTATGAAATCGATAAAAAGATATTGATGAGCGATTCGATGTACATTTAGTAACCTTTATTTCAAGAAGTATTGAGCTATAAATCGTAATTTTTAATAAAATTTGTGGGCGTATGAAGTTTTTTAAAGTATAGCTGAGCACAATAAGATTTATGGTAATTTGAAAATGCCTTGCCTTCACTCACACAAAGATTGTGGAAGATCTTTGACATGATTAATAAAACTTACGTCAACTAATTAGCAATGCAACATATTTGGCAACTTTACTCGAGTAATTGATATTTATGATGAAGTGTGGAGTACTTAATTTCCAAAATTTAGAAAAGGTATTATTTGTATTAAAATATAACATATTTAAATTAGACAGAAGGTGAAAACAAAAGAAGAGGTTACTATGAAAAAGTTTATAGCTTTCCTAAAAAAAATTTACTTTTTTGTTGATATGTATTATTTCTGAAAGCACATAAATGCTACGGTGAAATATTGATGAAAATCTTATTAATAAACCCAAATTTTATATGAAGTGAAAAAATTTTCTATGGTTTTTAGAAAATTTGCAAGGGTCATCAGTTGAAATCCAACTTAATACTTTTTCTCGGCTTGAGACCCAATGTGACATCAGTCTATTTCACGTTTAAATGTTTAAAAAATAACATTCTTTCAGAATTTTTTACTTATTTTTTGGCGAAGTGTATTTCAATTTTTGCCGATACCAATTGTCTATTTTTATGGTACATATAATTTTTCATAAATTGATCAGAATCCTTGACAGTCACGAATAAAGATTTTAATTGCTTCTACCAAGTGGAGAAATTATTTTTTTACGAAAAAAAAAACTTTAGAGTAAGAATGTAAAGGAACTGAAAAATAAAGCAAAAACATTAACACTTGAAACTGGGAAAGATAGATTCACCTGAAGGGAAAAATCAATCACCTCCTTTCTTAGTCGAACAGTTCTCAAGATGGATGTTATTAAAAAATAGGAAGGATTCAAAGAAGCCACCGAGCACTTTTCAAGTGTAAGCGTCCAAAGTTGACATTTTTCTCTCACGACTTTTCCTTTCTCCCTTTCTATCTACTCTGTACTCACATACGGGGACCTGTCACTTTGCACTTATCCCCCCGAGCGGATAAAAAGAACAATGGCACAGCAGTACTGAACAAAAAACTCTCGAAAGTTTACACTTAACTTTCCAGTGTCTATCGATCAATTATCTCTGTCCCCTGTCCCATACCGATGTATACCCAAGTATACCGAACTAAAACTTTCGTTTCATATCCATCCTAAAAGAGTGCTAGTATGTAACGTACACAAGTCCCTTTGTTTGTGTTTGCAGGTATCGTGGATAAGACAACGCGATCTGCACATCCTCACCGTCGGCATACTCACGTATACGAACGACCAGCGTTTTCAGTCGCTACACAGTGATGGTACTGATGAGTGGACCCTGAAGATCAGCTCACCCCAGGAGCGTGACAGTGGTACCTACGAGTGCCAAGTATCGACCGAGCCCAAGATGAGCCTTTCCTTCAAACTCAACGTTGTTGGTACGTTTATTCGCAGGTGTATTACGTTTTTTAACGCGTTATTTGCAAATTCAATTTTTTTACTTCAATCATAGATGATCCATTGTTTTAGGAACAATTTGCAATACATAACCGATGAAAATCTTAAAACTAAGTTGGCTTGTCTCTGGTTCTATTTTGCAGAAATATACTTAACTGCAACTGCACTGCTTTAACGGAAAGATAATTTGTATCAGAAAAGTTTTCATTGTGGCTTATTATTGTGCAACCTCGTTTGAAATGTCTCGTCAAGTCTTTATCGTCGTTGTTGTCGAACTGAAATTCTCGGAATGCCTATAATAACTGCGCTAGAAATATCTCGGAGAACCTCCAAGTTTCAGAAGCCCGTAAAGTGTTGATTCCATCTGTACTCTTGATTATTCTGGGAAACAAATTCCATCTGCGTTAGGGGGAATACAATTATATTTAATGTCAATAATTTGAAATTTCAGTTCCTGTCTTCCATCGGGTACAATTTTATTTAACAATACCGTCTCCGATAGTCAGCAAATTTTTCTTTGTAATTTTAATGAAGCAATATTATATTTCTATCAAAAATTAAAAAAAAATAAAAGTAAAATCTAATAAGTAGTTGGCTGATACAGTTGTAAAAACGGTATAGACTCATAGTTTTGGAACAACACTCTATAATTACAATACTATTAGAGCTCCCTTTTTTCATTTAGAAATCTAAAAGATTAAATAAGTAGGTTTCAAAAAATTTTAGTATCTCAAACTAATCATACTTTTACTTATCACTGATACAGTTCATTTCTTTCTTTCTTCTTGAAGTAGAACAAAGCTTTTCTTGAAAAATTTAATGTATGCTTATTGTTTCAGTTTCAAAAGCACGGATTGTTGGAAGCTCGGAGCGCTTTATTCGCAGTGGCAGCGACATAAATCTTACCTGTAATGTCTTACAGACGCCCGAACCACCAAACTTCATTTTTTGGTACGTATTCTAATAAAAATTTATTTCTTTACAGTTCTACATTCCAGCTGAAGGATGATAAATGTTCAATACCGATAGAATTCTTTTTTGATCATTTAATGTGAATAACCAATCAAGTTATTTTATTGACACCAGCTTGTTGTAAAAAGGAATCCATAAAAAACATCCTAAATTTGTCCTCCATTCAAAAAAAAATTTTTTTTGAGACACTCCTTCGAGACGGGGCTTGTTTATTGCGCAATGTCATGTATTATGAGAAAAAAATCGTGAACAGTCGAAGTGACATCCATTTGTCGATTTTTAATGCAATTACATCTGTCTACATACATCACATATGGGTATTTAAATTTTGCATGTTAATTATGTAAAAATGATGTCATCTCCATTAAAACCTATATTTATAATTTTCCCCTTGTAATACATGGCATTGCAAGTAAACTGAACCCCGTATTAAGGGTGTGCTTCAAAAATATTTGTAATCAAAAATCAAAGACAAAAACGAAATATTTCTTGTGGATTGACTAATTTACATGTATATGAACTAATTTATCTTTTTAATGTAATTTAGTTTACATCCTTAAAAAATAAATACGATAATAATAATAATAATAGTGGCTAATTACTTTAAGAACAGTGATTTAAACACATTCAGACTAATCGATTCTTCAAATTCTACAGGTACAAAGGTGACCACGTAATAAATTATAGCTCGCGGGGTGGTATAAGCGTCACGACTGAGAAACAGACGCGAACGTCACACCTGCTGATTTCACGAGCACTACCCACGGACTCAGGCAACTACACATGCGCACCATCGACGGCTGAATCGGCTAGCGTCTTCATTAACGTGTTGAATGGTAAGTTCATCGTTTGATATTAAGTAGTCCTCTGAACGAACACAAAGATTTTTTGATGATTCTTAACAATGTAGCTTTTTCGCAGTGTGTGAAACGAATTAAAACACGAACTCCGTAAAGTAAGTGTGTATGTAAAATTCTCAATTTATCTATGCTCGAGGATGATGCACTGTGGGGCAGTTTTTCTATCCACTACGTTTAATTAAATACAAAGCTTTTATACGATTCAGTAGATACGTGTTTTTTATAAAAACTGGATTTTTGTGGTAATTATTTTCTACTTTGATGTTTTTAAAAGTTTATCTTTAGCTTCTGACTACTTGATTTATAAAACGCGCACATTGCTCATAGCAACTTGATACGAAACAACTTTCTTTAATGACTTTGGTAGTTCTGTTTCACTAACGCAAAATAATTTTGTAACTGACAGATAAAGCCCGTTTTCTAAATTGTTAAGAAATAATAATTAATCTTTCCATTTAAACAACTAATGGAAGGTTAAGATTTTTTAATACAAATATCTTTTTTTGAAACGAAAAATAATTTCTCTTTTAAAAAATATATGATCGATGTGTAGAATGGATTTTTTACTTTAAATTGAAATGTTGAACGTAAAATAATGGAATTAAACAACGAAATTGTATTATTATAGCAGCCCCCATAAAATGCGTACGTGAGTGTCAGTGCACTTGTATCAATTTTATAAATGAAATCATACGTGCAATATCAAGGAAATATAATTTTCAATAATTTAAATTCTGATTGGTAGTTTGACTAATTAAAAAAATGCTCCTGCATCAGCTTTCAAAAATTCCATAAAATATCTCATCACGTACCGGTTATAAATGTATATTTCTTATAATTACGTGTATTTATTGTTGAAAATAAACAAGAATAATAATTCATAAATAATTGAAACAAACTCCACAATATTTGATTACTACTCACTCTAAAATACAGGATTAAATTTTTTGTAACTCATAAGAATACTTATCTTAATAAATGAAAATAATGACTGTATTGATATATTTTTTAAAAAATGCCCAACAGTGTTGAGTACTGCAAAAGATTTTGATTTCGTGGCAGCAAAATTTGAATTCTCGTGTTCAAGATTGAGAAAAATTGATTTAAGACGAATTAAATCCAATTAAATTTATTTATACATCATTTATTTCGTCTTATTTCGTTGCCACATAATCACAATCCAAGAAAACTTTAAAGATTATAAATAAGTTTATTTTTTAACAGTGTTGGTTATCTAAATGAAATTTTGTTTACGTCTGTTTGGACATATATTCGTTTGTGCATTTGAATTTTGTTTCAGTATTGGTTGTGTCTACACCATTTAATAAACAGTACTGAATAAAAAAAATAGAATTTTTCGTAAAACAATGTTATCATCTAACGCATATAATACAAAATTTCTAATAAAAATTCAACTTACACATTTTTTAATACATAGAGATATAAAAGGAAGAAAGCCCTCAAGACCGTATTTATCAGCAAGTTAAACATTGTACTCCAATAAGAATCTTGTCTTATTATTGAGAAANTGGGAGGTGCTAAAAATGGCGGAGTCAATTAGCAACGCGTGACCCTGTTTGCCGCACTGTCCGTGGACCCACTGTAATCAAGATTGTTCTTAAGGGCAACATGAGCTCTTTACACGCAAATATGATTAGAGCCAGAAATTAGATAATAAGCCGGAATAATAATGCGGGAATAAGCCGAATAAACAGAATTATATATTAATTTACAATAATTTTTTGAAAACATCAGGCTGACAGTCTGACCGATGTTTTTAAAAAAATTATAGTACATCAATACAATATTTCCTTTTTTCCTCTTATTTTTGTTATTATTGGGTATGCTCGATTATTTATCGTTCGTTCAATCGCTTCCTACAAGAGCCAATGCTTCAGTTGATTACGGTTCACCGAAAAATTCCTGTTTCCGTTCGTTCCTTAAGCATGAACGAACGAACGAACGATGGTTCATCAAACGTGCTTACTTTACTCCTTTTTCTTATTGCATTTGCGTATAAGGGCCCTATCGTCTTGTAACTTAATTAAAAATTGACACTTTTAATTCGATTCCATGATAGATGTTTTGCAGTGAATCGACATTTCTAGTTGATAACTATAGCACATAGTTACTAGCTATAGGAGCTACATACATAGACATTTTTTGCTCATTTCATTGTGAACGACGTGAACGTTTACATTAAAAAGGGGGTTCCACTGTTCCGCTAAACTTAAATTAAGTGAACAGACTGAGCAGACCTATACTGTGTTCTGTGTCAGTTAACATAGTTGCGACCATAGGCTTTGTTGCCTTATGGAAAATTAGGTATAGGTCTGTTCAGTCTGTTCACTCACTTTGAGTTAAGCAGAACAGTGGAACCCCCTTTTCGATATGTACGTTCACAATAAAATAAGCAAAAAATGTCTATGTGAATAGCTCCAAAAAATGTCTATGTGAATAGCTCCTATGGTCGCAACAATGTTGACTGACAGAGAACAGAGTATAGGTTTGTTCAGTCTGTTCACTCAATTTAAGTTTAGCGGAACAGTGGAACCACCTTTTTAATATGAACGTTTACAATGAAATAAGCAAATAATGTATATGTGAATAGCTCCATCAAGTTTCCTCGTTATTACCCTTACCTCTAACCAGAGATTAGTAGAGAGATTGCCAGCGCCTATGGTAGAGAGTGTGTCGCTTATTTTCCACTGTTTTGAGCGCCCCGTCGCGGCAAATCAGCCAAACTATACGCACGTTTTAGCAGCGGAGAAGACCAAATTGTGAGTACGATATGTACCTAGTAGAGGAGAAAGGAATATGCGCGTACACACGGATATAGCTATACATATACATGTTTTATATTCTAGCTGCCTTGGCTCTCGGCTCCCGGCTCTCGCAGCTCGCAGTTCTCGCATGCATGCGTATATACCTATATCTATTCCTGATGTGATGTTCCCTCAAAAGCGGTTTCGAATGTTGGACAGTTATTATATATGTCCCATCATATATTACTCATTATATATGTATTGAATATTAGTACAGCTAAATACAGAGTTTTCCTGGTATGAAATAAAAAATTGAGTAATAAAAACGTAAGCCCCGATATTTAATGTAACTTCTTGAAACTTGTTTCATCGGCGTTCTGCTATGTCTCGATTCAAATCAATTACACATATTTGTATACGTAGGGTTAAAGGAAATCCCGTTTCAGGTAAAATTGTTTGGTTGTCGTTGGTAGATGCAGAAAATACTTTCTAATTACTTGTTTTTTACATGATTAAATTGTGCCAACAACAGACCTCCCAAACCCTCATTTTTTTCAAATACTCAATCCTAATAGCTTATCTTTCACTCACTTTCTTACTTCTATGAAAACATCGAGCAACAATTGTGAGTGGACTGTTTTTACCGCAGCAATACAACGTACTCAAGAAGTGGGAAATATTTTTTAACTATTAAAAGCTCCAAATCAGGCAAACTCTTCATCGATATAGATCCAAAAAAAACTTCATTTCTAAATAAGCTCGCGTACAACTAAATTATGCACATACGAGAAAATTGCTTGTATGGAAATCCCTAGTATTTTCAGGCATACCCAAACATATGCTCGTGCTAGTGGAAATGTTTATCTTTCGCATCCAGAGACATGAACCAGCCATCCGATTGTAAATAAGCAAGTGAGTAAACCAAAACTTGGCTGCATAAAAGCAAGACGAACGAGTTCTGGCACAGCCGAAAAAACGAGAGACTCTTTACGTATGGTCACACGTATCGACGTTTTTTGTTCTGCGAAAGTCATTTCTCATTTTTTTCCTTCAAAACTCACTGCAACTGAGTTTACACTAGACTTGCTTGCTACATTTTACATTCAAGGCTGTAAATCTACACTGCATCGATGTAAACCAAATGGTAAAAGCCATAAACCGATGGAGAATGAAAGAGATATACGAACGACACTGCAAAATAGCTTCCAAAGCTGATCCTGCGGAGGAAGTCGAGGATAAAGTCGAATAAGAAGGAGAAGGAAAGATTCGTACTGTTCTGCTGCAGCTTCTGTTTGTCACAAGCTGGCCTTATCAGCACTGGGTATAAGGTCATGAAACTCTATGAAAAAGAAAGACAACACAAGAGATGGGAGTTTCTGAGGCCAAAGAAAAAAGGAAAAAAAAAAACAAGCAGAAACTGTTGGAAGGTATAGATGTCAGATATGTCAAAGGCGGCAACGACAAAGCTAGCAAATAAGCTGGAAGTCGTTGCCATTGTGATGTAGTAAGTTTTGTCTGATTGTTCGAGATAATACACGCAATGTAAAATACTCGAGGAACACTATTGAAGGAATTCGATTTTTTTTTTCATTAATTAAATAATGGTATTATTAGTGGTTTTGAGCATGTGAAAATATGAAGTATGATCGAAAAACAGTAAAAATATAGCAAGAAAGGTACAGAGAATAAGTAAGAGAGGCAGGGAGAGGCCAGTAAAAGGTGGATTGGTGAAATTCAAGTAACGAACACCAAAAAAACTTGGACGATGAAAATTAGAAAGCAAGAGTAAAAATATTAAATTTATTTGAGAAAAAGAATCAGAGAAATCAAATGTACTGTAAATCTTCCCACCAATAGTACGAGAAGGTAAGAGGATAAAGCGACGAAACCGTAAAAGAAGATTTTTCAAAAGACGAACTTTCAAAGAAAGACGGTGGGAGAAAAAAAAGCTCAAAATATCCCAGCCATGACTCAATGCACGAAATTTCAGAATGAACACCGTTACGGGAAAAGAAATCCAAAGTTGCGAAGAAAAGTTATGGAAAAAAAGTAGAAAGGGGAGAAGGCAAGCTCAAAAAAACGAAAAAAATAGCTCCAAGCTGGAAAGAAATAAGTAATAAAGAGGAAGAAAGTTGTAAAGGAGAAGCCCGATGGTAGGAAACGTACCTGGGAAGGTTGGGAGGGGCGAGGCCTACGTATCCATGGCTTCAT